TGACCCTGGCTCTATGTCCAGCACCAAACCTCCACGCTCAGCTTGGAAATCAGGGCCCCAAGGTGCCAAAGGGAAGGTCTGCAGAGGGGCCAGCCTGCCCAGTCCAACAGAAGGAAGAACTGTACAGCAGCACGGGTAGCAAGGAGCAAGAAGCACTCTGCACATCACTTGCCGTGAAGTTTATCACAGCAGGGCTACCTCAACCCAAGGGCAGCCAGGAGATTCACTTACCAGCCACATAATGGGCATTAGCAGCTTCCACAGAAAAACTGGCAAAATTCTGTAGGTCATGTTGGACATAACAAGACCAGGACAAACAACACTGGAATACAGACCCTGCAGAGAAGAAACCGAGTCAGTGTGGAAATACACAACAATTAGTTTAAGAACAGATCAAACTCCTTCCCTCATTTTCTTGCTGAGACATAGCATGCTCTCCTCTCTGAAGTTACCAGATCCAGAGAGCTATTAGATGTAGTGATTTCGAGAGGTCCAAATTGGAGATTCTCAGTTAAATCTGTGCCCATTGCAAGCCTAGGAGACAGAAGGCATAGCCTCCCGACACACCACAACATCATGTTGCACTCTACCTGCAGCTCAGCTGCAACAGCAGCCATCCCACAAATTACCACCTGCTCAGATGAAAGGCTACCTCACCTTTAAGAGGTAAGAGTTCAGCCTTCTATGACTAAACCACTTTTGTCCTGAAGTATTTCAAGAGAGTGAAATCGCTATCACTGGACCAGGGCTGCCAACACCACCTGGCAATCCCTTGTGACAAAGAAGCCAGGTTTGTTTGTACATCTTAAGTGTGACAAAGTTGAGTGGCATGGAGCCATCAGGAGAGACAGCAGAGCCTACACCTCAAGTGCTTGCCGACAAAGCTGCCCAAGCAGTCCTGTTCTCATAGGCAGGTACCCCTGAAAAGAGCAGAAGCTCTTTGCTCTTTAAGACCAATTCTTTGGTCTAAAGAGACAGGTAGAGTTCACATTCCTAAGAACTTCTGCTTTCAGAAGCATTTCTGACAAGAAGCCCAGAAGGAATCTCTCTGGCAGATTCTCCACCACCCACACCACCGGTTCAACCTGCACCATGTTTAGGTCTTACACGTGCATTAAGGAACGTATTGAATTGCTATGAATGAATGCAACTAAACAACAACAATGCAATAATAGTTCTAAATAGTAGGAGCTCATTAGGTTTCTTCAGACATGCAAACCCCATCGTCACCTGATTATTAAATTTCCTGTTCAGAACCACACTTGTCAGGTCAGTAGCATATTTGGAGGAACTGTATGCTTCCTGCCCCTTGGCATGCTGATAGTCAGAAAGGCTGAAGGCAGACTCCCTGGCGTTGCTAGAAGAAGTCCAGATGAGTCGCGAGGGCTTTTCATTACCGCAGAGCAGAGACTCAAGTTGACGAACCTGCAAAATAATTATTAACTTATTTAACATCTTGCAGTATAGCTTCGCAGTTCTTAAAAGCCACAAGCTTATCTTGGCTTTCCTAGTCTTGTCCAACCTTCACTAGACTAGCCAAAGGCAGCTGTTGCTCAGGTGTAGCTTCAGCCCAAGGTCCCCCAGGAGTATTTACAAGCAGCCACCATTCTCTTACACAGCTCAGTTGAGCTCTTCAGAATTTAATACAGTCAAGTCCTGATATTCATCCTGGACACAGAGAACTACATACAGTTTACCTCTATCCACTGACTAGAGTGACCCTGAGATTATATGAACCCTTGCAACAACAACTATCACCACTTATTGCTATTTTAAAAGAGCCTGAGCCCTTTGCCCTATCGTTCTGTATCTGTCAGACCGCAGCCTGCATCAGCATCTGAACCTGTAAGACAGAACTGGTTCATCAGTACCACCTGTGCCCATCCCTACCCACACCAACCACCAGAACGAAGGCTCGATCTTTGTATGCAGCCTCACCAGCATAAAGTGTCCAAAGAGGTTGGTAGCAAACACCTCCTGCAGTCCATCTCCGTTAAGCCTGTCCGTCTGGGTCATTATGCCTTCCGCAGTGGTCAGCATGTGAAGCACTTTCCTGGAAGACAAGGGCAGGAGTCAAAGGAAAACATTGCTGGGAGGCATCTACTGCTCCCCCATTTCGGTCCTTCAGAAGCACCCCCCCCACCTCACAGGCTCCACGCAGACTCTAGTTTCACCTTCAAGAGCTCTATTAATCCATGAAAAAAAGGCTGGAAAAAGTTTACAGAGTATCCCAGCCTCTTTATTTGCAAGTGTCTCAATACTGACAAGACCCGAGAAGGCTTGTCTCTTCCTTCACTTCATCACAGTAAAGTACCATTAAAAGAAAGTCCTGTTCTTCAACTTCACTTTCAGGTAACAAAATCAAGCTTCAGTGTGGAGCTAAGCCCTAGGGCCATGCCTAATTCAGATAAGGAAAGCAGCCCAGCATTTATGTTCAACACCTCAACAACCAAATTAGATTAAACGCAAGTCATGTTGCTTATAGAATAACATGCTTAACCCCATGGTGCTTATGGAATGAGCATCAGCTGTTAGATTCACAGGGTACTGCGACCCACAGCCGAGAACAACTACAGCAGCCTACAGCAGAGCCAGAAGAAGAGTCAGGAGACCCAGTGGGAGCAAACTTCACCCCACCAGCAACACAACAGCGTTCTTCACTCAATGCCTAATGGGGGGATGTGTAGGCTTTGGGTGAACTCTTGCCCTCCCCCTGCACACAGCCAGCCTCACACCAGGGATCAGTAGGAGCACTGGGTGCCTTGGAGCACACCAGAACTTCACCCAACTGTCAAACCCACCCCATGTGAGGCCAAGCATCCCACAAGGATGGGCTCTGTGTCATGCTGGGGAAGGGAGATAGGGTCTTCAGCCCTGGACAAAAGGGCATGTCTTGGCCATGATGATGCCACCAGCACCCCACACTGCCCACAAGCATCTCCTACCCTGTGAGGAGACCATGCCAGAGAGCCTTAAAGTTCACGTGTGGGTTGGGCATGATCCCAGCATTGAGGTAGACAAAGTCCAGTCGCTGGAACCTGTAGGGGGAAGAGCAAAGGGGTGAGGGGTGGAGGGTGGACAGGGGGGTGCGGTGGGGTGCAGGACAGAGTCCCCATACCTGCAGCGGAGCTCGCGGGCAACACGCAGGACGGAAGCCAGGTTACCCAGGTCCACCTCCACGGTGGAGACCTGGGCGGCGGGGTAGTCGGTGAGGATGAGGTCTCGCGTGGCTTCCATCTTCTGGGCGTTGCGGCAGGCGATACAGAGATGGATACGGCCATCCTCCTCCAGCAGCCGCCGGCACAGCGCCAGCCCCACGCCGCTGCAAGGACAGGGTGTCACACACGGCCCCCAGCGGGCTGGGCAGAGCCGGGACGGGGCGGGA